GCTAGGGTCTGGAACCAGCTTCCAAGTGAGGTGGTGCAGGCTCCCACCCTGGGGGTTTTTAAGAGGAGGTTGGATGACCACCTTACTGGGGTCGTTTGACCCCAGTGCTCTTCCTGCCATGGCAGGGGGTCGGACTAGATGATCTGCTCAGGTCCCTTCCGACCCTAGAAACTATGAAACTATGAAACTATAAACTATGAAATTGGTCCTGTGTTTTATGAATGTCAGGAAAAAATGTACATAAACTCTCGGGTAGTATGAATTTGGACCAGTCTAGACTTCAGAACCAATCCTGTTACCAGTCTAGACTTCAGAACCAATCCTGTTACTGCAGGGGTGGGCAAAATATGGCCCACAGGCTACATCTGGCCTACAAGGCCATTCTATTTAGCCCGTGGGGCCCCTAAAAAATTTAGAAAATATTTATCTCTCCTTGGTTCCCATCAAAAATGACAGGAGCAAGGGCAGTAGGACCAAGGGGAAGCCCCAGCGGGCTCCTGCAACAGCAGGGCCTGCCTGGGACAATGCTGCTGCACTGTGCCAGAAACTCAGGTGGGGGCAGGGTAGGGCAGGAGAGGATCCCAGGCAGGGAAGGAGCCCAGGGAAAAGCTGAGCATGGGGAAAAGCAGCCCTCTACCTGCCCCATGGGCAGTGCTCCCTGCTGCAGCTGCTCGCAGCCTGCACTGGGCTGTCCTGAGGAGGCACAGGCAGCCCCATGTGAGCTGCAAGCAGCTGGAGCACGGGGCACCAGGCATGGGGCGGGCGAGGAGCTGCCTTTCCCCCGCACTCAGCACCTCTAACCCACCCCCGCTGCCAGCCTGGGCCTTGCGCTGGCTCTGGGCTTGCCTGTCAGGGCTGCGCGCAGCGGCAGCAGCTGCGGCCCCCCACTGCTTACCATGCCGGGCAGTGTTTGCCACCGCTGCCTCTGTGCTGCCCAGCATGCGAGCTCCAGGCAGGTAGCAGCAGCCAACACTGCCCAGTGCAGCAAATGGGGGGCCGCAGCTGCTGCTGCCGTGTGCAGCCCCAACAGGCGAGCCCGGAGCCCACTCAGGGCCCAGGCTGGCAGCAGGGGCAGGTTACAAGCTGGTGCTGAGTGCGGGGAGGGGGGTGACGAGGCAGGGCACCTGTCAAGGGGCAGAGCTACCCATGCGGCCCTCAACAGCTTGCCAAAACTGGGTAAGGGGCCTTCTGCCCAAAATAATTGCCCGCCCCTGTATTACTGGGATGAGCCAAACAAAATCTGTACATCCAGACTCCCTGAACTTAGAGGAAGCTTGTCTGTTGGTTTTTTGGACCTCAAACTACTAATTTTTAGTCATTTAAATTTTGGCCCTAAACTAAGCGAACACTCCTTTTAAAAAACAGATGTGATATAGTGGCATAATTATAGATAAGCTAAAGAAAGCAATGATACATAGCTCTACTTAATACAAATTTGTCAAGCAGTCCATGACAGTGGAAGAAAATTTTATATATATGTGTGTGTGTACGTGTGTGTATATATATATAATATATAATCTACAGCACTGCAAAGGGTTTTGACTATATCTATTATATATCTAAATATATATTGACGATATATATTTTGATAGAGTCAAAACCACTTTGCAGTGCTGTGCTATGTTTCATAATTGTTGATTAGTGATTGAACCCTATGGCTATGGCTGTTGGCCAATCACAATTGCTGATTCTGTTCTATCATCAGTCATAATTCCATGATCTGATGGCAGAACTGTTCCTTATGGTTTTTAAAAAATACCATAAGTAAATATAGGTCATGCATACATAGATCATAAATTAATGCTCCTGCCCCATGTGATTTTACCCTAAAGTTCTGAATGTGCCAGCTTATTTTATAAAAGCTTCCAGGAACCACAAAGTAGGTTCTCTGGAGTTTGAAAGTTTAGTGGTATAAAAAAATATTTCTTCTGTGAAGGAGCATAATCTTATAAAACACTCATCTTGGAGTCAGAAATTGATGAGTCTCACAATCCATTCTTTAAGCAACGAGTTACAAACCCTATAACATCTGAAATCAAATTATAAGGAATACTCAAGGAATGCTTTAGGTTTTTACTGTCCTGAGGCAAATGGGAATTTATTATTTCCTCTAAATTCCCAGTCACTCAAATTTATAAATAATCACTGAAATGTAAAAGCACAACATGAAGGTACTTTAATACATTCCTCTGTTTTTCTCCCCCAATCTAAAGAAGAGACTAAATGTGCTTGCAGAGGTCCAATTTGAAGCAGTGCCTGAATAGCCTCTTGGACATTGTTAATTTTAGGGTTCTTTTTACAAACGTAACGTGGCTGAGCTAGTTTATAAAATTCAACTTTCACCTTACCATGGTGAAGGCATGAAGAATAAACTGAAAGCCATATTAAGAGCCTTTTTCTGTGACTCACTGTTCAATCTTCATTTACAATGATGAGCAGAAACATCAGCTTTTTGAAATAATAAATCACTGTGATTGTAGGTAAAAATTGGAAGGAGAATTAGGGAAAGAAATCAGAGATGAAACTGAATCAAATTGGTGGTTTTAAACATCTCCAAATTTTTTGAGTAGTTTGTGGTCCAAACCTTTATCCTGAACAGAATTTCACCAGTGTCTCCTATCTGTATAATGCACCAGACATCAGATATAGATATAAAACTCTCAGGCACTTGGAAATTAATTCTCATATCAGGATCTGGCTTTTTTTTGAAGGGGGTGGAGGAGAAG